TTAGTTGTGATTTGTTTATTCTTGCTTTTATTTCTGTTGGGTGGGTAGACTGCCCTAGGAAAACAGTTTTGAGAAGTATGTGAAATAATGTTTTGCCTATGTTTTCTTCTAGGAAGTTTATTGTATCTTGTCTTATGTTTAAGTCTTTGATCCATTTTGAGTTTATTTTTGTGTATGGTGTAAGGGAGTGTTCTAGCTTCATTGTTTTACATGCTGCTGTTCAGTTTTCCCAACACCATTTGCTGAAGAGACTGTCTTTATTCCATTGTATATTCTTGCTTCCTTTGTTGAAGATTAGTTGACCAAAAGTTTGTGGGTTCATTTCTGGGTTCTCTATTCTGTTCCAATTGGTCCATATGTCTGCTTTTGTACCAATACCATGCTGTCTTGATGACTGTAGCTCTATAGTATTGTCTGAAGTCTGGGAGAGTTATTCCTCCAGCTTCTTTCTTTTTCTTCAGTAATGCTTTGGCAATTCTAGGTCTTTTGTGGTTCCATATAAATTTTATTATGATTTGTTCTAGTTCTGTGAAATATGTCCTGGGTAATTTGATAAGGATTGCATTAAATCTGTAGATTGCCTTGGGCAGTGTGACCATTTTAACAATATTGATTCTTCCAATCTAGGAGCATGGGATATCTTTCCATTTTGTTTAAGTCTTCTTTAATTTCCTTAATCAGTGTTTTATAGTTCTCCATGTATAATTCTTTCACCTCCTTGGTTAGATTTAGTCCTAGATATTTTATTACTTTCGGTGCTAATTTAGAGGGGATTGTTTCTTTGCTTTCTTTTCCTGTTGATTCATCATTAGTGTAAAGAAATGCAACTGATTTTTGTACATTAATCTTGTAACCTGCTACCTTGCTGAATTCTTCAATTACTTCTAGTAGTTTTTGTGTGGACCTTTTAGGGTTTTCTGTATATAGTAACATGTCATTGGCATATAGTGACACTTTTACCTCTTCTTTTCCAATTTGGATCCCTTTTATTTCTCTCTCTTGCCTGATTGCTGTGGCTAGGACTTCCAAGACTATGTTGAATAGGAATGGTGATAGTGGGCAACCTTGTCTTGTCCCAGATTTTAGTGGGAAACTTTTGAGCTTTTCACCATTGAATATTATGCTGGCTGTAGGTTTGTCATATATAGCTTTTATTATGTTGAGATATGTTCCCTCTATACCCACTTTGGTGAGAGTTTTTATCATAAGTGGGTGTTGAATTTTATCAAATGCTTTTTCTGCATCTATTGAGATGATCATGTGGTTTTTGTCCTTTCTCTTGTTGATGTGATGTATTATATTGATTGATTTGCATATGTTGAACCATCCTTGTGTCCCTGGGATGAACCCCACTTGATCATGATGTATAATCTTTTTTATGTGCTGTTGGATTCTATTTGCTAGTATTTTGGTGAGGATTTTTGCATCTATGTTCATAGTGATATTGGTCTGTAATTCTCTTTTTTGATGGTGTCTTTGCCTTGTTTTGGTATCAGGGTGATGGTGGCTTCATAGAATGAATTTGGGAGTCTTCCCACCTTTTCAATCGTCTGGAAGAGTTTGAGAAGGACTGGTATGTGTTCTTCTTTGTATGTTTGGTACAATTCCCTGTTGAAGCTGTCCGGTCCTGGACTTTTATTTGTAGGGAGGTTTTTTATTGCTAATTTGATTTCATTTCTAGTGATCCATTTGTTCAAGTGGTCAGTTTCTTCTTGATTCAGTCTTGGTGGACTGTATATTTCCAGAAACTTGTCCATCTCCTCTAGGTTATCCATTTTGGTTCCATATAGTTTTTCATAGTATTCTTGTATGACATTCTGTATTTCTATGTTATTTGTTGTAATTTCTCCATTTTCCTTTCTTATTTTGCTTATTTGTGCTCTCTCTTTTTTCTTCTTTGTGAGTTTGGCCAGAGGTTTGTCGATTTTATTTACTCTTTCAAAAAACCAGCTTTTGGTTTGATTGATTCTTCTATTGTTTTTTTAATCTCTATTTTATTTATTTCCTCCCTGATCTTTATTATTTCCTTCCTTCTGGGTTCATGTATTAATTAACTGTCTCTTTAGGAAAATGAAAGGGAACTATTTTCCCCCAGAGTAAAATCAAGCACCACATCATGCTTTAAAGAATTACAGTTTCTGAATCAACACCTGCCCTGATGCTGTAAAAGGTATCATCCAATCAAAGAACGGTTAATCAAATGCTTTATCAGTAGAAAGTAATCGTACATGTCACACCAGGATCATCAAGGTTTAAAGAATGGGCATGCAAAAGATACACTTAACAGCAGACTTGCCAGGATTCAAAGACTCCTGATGCACCTTAACTGTGCTCTTCTGCCCCTCACTTAAAAATGTGCGTATATATGTAGGAATGTTCTTGCTTTTGCTGGATGCCAGGTCAGCTCTCCTGCTCTGTGTAATGATCTGCACTTCGTTCAGATGGAATAATCTGAGGGGTGACAGCATCTGTAAAAAGGCAGGGGACAGTGGGCCAAGTTTGCATTCCTGTTTGGCAACATAGGGCCAGACTCATAGGAATGTGGTCAAGACAAAGCTAAGTTTCACTGATATTTAACATGTTGTAGTTGGGAAGGCCACAGAGCTGCCGCGGTGTGTGTCAATAAAGCCCTATGAGAAAAGCAGACTGTGCAAATGGGATTTCCAAAAGTCACACACTGGCAGGCAGACAGACGCTAACACATTTGGGTAGCAATGGCCAATCCAAAGTTTTCTTGCTTAATTAGTAGATTTGGGACTCTTGAGAAAGGACATTTTCCATGAAGAACTTGCTTTGAAGGCAGATTTTCACTGCCAGGTCTCCGGGGAGGATCATTTTTTCCAGCTCTCACTTTTGCTATCTCTGACTCATCTCTCAAAATTTAAGGGAAAACATTCTTCTGGGGGGACTTTCTGGGGGTCAAGTTGGAAATTTTTGAGTGTCTCCAAATATCCCCTGTGATCAGAGCTTCACATAAAAGTTTGAGAAAGCTCCAGTGTGATGACCCCAGCTCTGGGCTCCATCCTGGAGATGGGGAGACCAGGTGAGCCATGGGGGCAGCCTGATGTGCAGAGAAAGTCCTCCGTGTAACACGCCGGTGGTGCCTGAGGTCAGAAACCCTGTCCTTTTTGGGAGGAAGGAATGATTTACTCTTGAGAGAGGAAGTAGGGATAGAGTTGTGGACAATGTAGGGTGGGGAGGAGTGAGAGGAAGAAGGGAAGCTTATCTTTCTTTGTTTAAGAAATTGCTAAGAGAAAAAAAAAAAGCTTGGGTGGCTTTCTTAAGCTCCTGCAAAAATAATCCCCACTAAATTGGCTAACGATGAAATAAACGTCATCAAAAAGAACAGTCTCTGATTGGCTTGGCCTCTGGGATTTGAAAAGCATTTAGGGGAAGCAAATTGACCCCCTGATGCTGCAGCGATAAACTACGGCATCATCTCTGACTTCTTGTTGCAACTGGTTGATCTTTCCAACTCTTTCTCCTCTTTAACCGACTCCTCAGGATTAAGTTGATCAAAGCATGGCTGGGT